TTTATCTGTTATTTGTATTGATTTATAATATTTGTATACTAGAATTGAGATCAAGTTTCAATCTGAAAGATTTACATACATCAAAATTAATTTAAAAAAAAAAAAATTTTCAAAGTCCTGATCAAAATCATATTTAGGTTAAATTAAATCCGATATCCTTATTCCATTGTTGCCAATTTCCCAAAAAAATATGACAAAAATTTAAATCATAGATTTGGAAGTATTTCGTTAATGTTCTAGTTCCGCTTGTCACGTAAGATGGTCTTGGCTCGTTAGACTCCCTCGCCATGCTTGATGTTGTCATTGGATGTCTTTTTTGAACAATGGCCTAGTCATGGCGGAGAATCTGCAAACAATGTGCTTTTGCGTCATTAAAATTTAACCAGGTCATACGCGCGATTCTCATTAGAAAATTCAATGATATTGAATAGTGTTTATAGATATTAATATCATAGCAACACAATGTGCATACTCATACAGATATTTCCAATATGCTGTGGGAACAGAAGTCTAGTAAGATTGACCTTTCTTATCACTTACAAACACTGTGGCATTTGGAGTCAAGATATATCTATTTTTTCTGAACATACCAGATGACACTTCATTTATTTAATCAAGTTATTGCTTTTTTGTTAATTTCTATGATACGAGTTAACTCATTTATTCATTCAAAACATTCAGTTACAGATTTAAAATTTAGAAAATATTTTCATCACTTGTTTTTAGATTTATTTCACATAGAAAATTATTTTTAACCCATTTTTTTCAAAATGTATTTTTGAGTTTCAGTTCAGTTATGGAACACAGGCAACAGAAATATAAATCGAAAGCTCTAACAATAAAATATTATTTAGCTTCTATCTTTTACCATCAACAACAATAAACTTTTCTTTTTAATTTAATTAGCAGACCAACTTTGTCACTGATCATTCAGTCAATCAATCATTAAATTAAATATTACTAATAATCCTACCATAGTTTATTTTAAATTTTTAAACCTAAAAATAAAAAACATTCCAATAGTTAATTAATTTTTGATTTATTTTAGAATGAAGCTTTTATATTTATAATTAATAAGAAAAATATGATAATGATTGGTACTCGAGTAGTAAAACACATAAAATATTAATCTACGTTCATTAAACGTAATAAACCGAGGTTTAAAGCTGCAATTCTGTGAGGTAATAACGATCGCATGTACTTCTTTCAAGCGCACCCTTTAAAACTCTTTAGTTCTGAGTATATTTTCCCCGGGACATAGATGCTGAGGGTGCACTAGTCTATCTCACATCAAGTGAAGATACAACTTCAATGTTGATTCCCTCTTCATATCCACAATGCAAATACAGGAAATTGCTTTTATTTTTATCGATTATTTGTAGCCTACAGATAGCTTTTTTTTATTTTCCACTTGATTCATTTAAACTTTTGATTTATTACGTTTTTTAGTGAAAAGTTTGACTATTTATACAAAAAATAAGACTATATCTTGGATGTATTCTAATGAGTGGACTTGATAATTTGTAGAAATAGTTTGAGAAAAGAGTAGTCGTAGGCACGGTTTGTGTGTTTTACCACACGTGAACATAAGAGGCCAGTACGATGCTCCAAATACCGAGTGTATTTTTGCCAGTGACTTAAATTCATTTGCTTCCAACTGAGATATAAACTTTTGTCAAAATAGAAACTTTACTTTCGATTTGTGTTGGACTTTAATTAAACTTACTTTTCACTTTAGAGTTTTTTACTTTTATTTTTAATGTTATTATGACAATGGTTTTGTCGTAGATGAAATAAGAGGTTTATGTTTAATACTCTGGTAAATTTCATGAACGATATGACAACTCAGCGAGATTATATAAAAGAAAGCATGAGACAATTTAATGTGGATGTGAAATTGGAATAAAGGTATATAATAGTTTTGCTGAGTATGAGTTCATTGTAATGACTTGTCCTGTTCATTTAAACTTAAGATTTGTGTTTAATACCATTTTTTTCAATTAATAATACAATTTATTGTTTTAAAATTTCCATTGGAGACATTTCATATGTTGACGAGGAGAGAAAAATGAAAAAAAAATGAAGAATGAAAAAGTAATTATGTAGAAAAAATTCATCAAATATAACTGAGCAATGAAAGACCGAATGCTAAATTTTTATTTCAAAATATAACAATAAAGATATTTTCATTTGAATTGACTGATACAAATTTTATTATATTTAACGTTAATATTCGAAATGCAGCAACCTATAATGAATCATTGACTCGTTCTCGAAAATTCATCTCCCAAACATATTTAGTTACGTTGGAAAATTTATTCGGTAAAAAATATCCAATCAATATGTGTAATTAAATGTTGTAGTAAAACCCTGGATCTTGTACATAAATTCACCTAGCGTATAATATTTCCATATCGCTAGAGATTTACTCTTATATACTATTTATCAAGCCCATATCAAAACTTGTATCACAGCAGAACCATTAAGTTGCTGGAAAATTTATCTTTTCCCGTATAATATATCTTAAAATTGACTTTTAAAGATTGGAAATATTTTCAATGGCAAAGTAGTCCGTGGATGACGGATAATAAGAAGAGTACATAGATATAATACGGCTATAGAAATTGTCCAGATTTTATAGTTAGATCAGAAGAAGAGAGATATTTAGCAGAGCAAAACGAGTGTCACGTACACAATCTTGCGTTCATGGTTCCGTTATTCGATTATTTATCCACGAACGTGTAGACGCCGGCGTTGCACGCGTGAATAAATAGTATTTTCATCATGTAAATATAGCGATGCACGTGCAGCAGAAGAACGACTGGACACGTCTTACAGTCTATCTTTAAACGTTTGAAATTAAAATGTTCAACTGTTGAGCCACAAAACCGCGTGCTCTAGCAGACTAGAAAATCCGTTGCGATTTCCGCACGTCAGCGGAACCCATTATACAGCGATCCGGAAAAAAAATTGAAGAAATTTTTTCAAGCACCAACCTACGTTCATGTGATAAAACCTGCTTGTCATCATCTTGCAATATTAAAGAAATTTCTTTCCCGTTAAGATGAAAGATGTTGACGAACTGTAATACCATGAATTTCTCCTAGATATGCAAAATCTGATATTTTTTTAGAGACTTATGAGTTCGTTGACTTGCCAGAATATTATTCATATGACACATATATGAATAAAATCAATAACTTTTTAATTCATCTAGTAATAACCTCAAATTACTTTACTTAATAGACTTCTTGTGAGAAGTAGGCTTCTCGAATAAACACTTGATGTTCATAAATATTAAAATTGCTACTTTGCAGAATGGTTTTAGATTAATTGGAGTTTTTAGAAATTTTTTACCTGAAGTAACTGGAAATGACAGAAAAATAGGTCGATAAATTTTCTATGAAAATTTTACTGGGAAGATAAAAAAAATTTAGTCTGATTTTATACAGTCCATTAGAGATTCTATGGAGGATTTTCAATATTTAATACCGATTAATGGTCATTATTTATTTATTTCTACAAAACGGCATGAATTATATCACAAAATTTTGCTTTATTCACAAAATATTCAAATGAACAACAAAAAACAATAATCTATTCATCTCTTAATATCTCAAATATTTAGCAGTAATGAGAAGCTTCATAATAAAATATTCATTCATATAAAATACATCTTTCGAGTGTTTCAAATAAGTTATAGCTGTTTTTGATGAAGAAAAAAAATAAATGAGCCTTTTTAAGCCCTAGAAAAAAAATGAAATGACTGAAAATTACTGGATGTAATGAAGAATCCTACACTGATAGAGTTGATGTATTTGGTAAAAAATGTGTGATACAAATGATCACTCCAAAACATAAACTAAACGAGTAGTTGAAAAACATAAATTTCAATTAGGTTACATGAATGTAGATAGAAGAATTCTGTTGGGTTAGAAAAGAAGCAGCCTGTGTAATAATTTACGTGAAGTATACCAAGTAAATAAATGCGTAGATGTTCTTTCTGATAATTCACGAGCATTTACAATCTAGCTTCGAAACGGTTATAGCTGGATCTTGAGCTAATATTGGAAAGATTCAGTCACGAGCTAATCTCTTTAAAGTGGATTTATAAGAGTAACTCTGTCTCTGACTGAAATATACATCAACAGACATATAGGTAGGCTTTATGAGATGGGATTTGCACATGACAACGTGACCTCAGCATGGCTTTCAAGGTAGATCAGAGTATGTGAGGACGAGTTGCGTCGTCACGCAGTTCATCCAAGGTCGGGTGATGAACCGAGATGGTGACAGGTCTTTTTCTTTTCAAGTTCAAAGTCTTGTTAGATCAAAGTTTCTCTGCGATGTAAAGTAGGAAAAGAAAATTTTCCGGTTGATTAGAGCTTTCACAAAATCTAAAAATTAAAGGGAAATCGATCATTTATTCGGTAAATTTAACTCTGTAATTAATTTTGAATGCTAAAAATAACAGATAATGAAGTCATTTAATTTTTTTCCCTTCAAAAGACGGTTAATATAACTAGACTAATCATATTTAAATTGAATTAAAATGTATCCGAGACTAATATTCTCATTTAATGAACAGGTTGTTTGATTGAGTTTATTTTGATTCGATTAATGCTGACTTAACTGAACATTTTTTAATGTAATATCAACAAATGATTTGAACTTTGTTTTTAAACAAAAAAAAAATATTTTTGTAAAAAGTTGTTTATAAAAAAAACAATTTATTTAAAAACATATCAATATTAATATAAAATACAGACAATTTGTACAGTTGTTTCAGGATGATTGATACAGTTTTGAATGCATAACATAACATAATGCAGTAATGTCTTGCAGCTTTAGTAATATGAATAAAGTAATGAATTATGTATTAAGCGCGGGTGGTAGTGCAATAAATAAAACTTTTTAATGCATTTGATGAGTAACAGTTGTACCACACTATATAATAAACCCGCGTCTCTCGCTATGACTCAACCTATTCTTTGTTGCAGGTTCGAAGCACTTGTGATCAATCGATGGCGAGACTCCTTCTGCAGAGGATCTTCAAGTCAGCTATACCTAACTGCTGAGGGTCTTCGTAGCGTCACGAGTGACCTGGATCGTATGAAATGTTGAAACTGCAATTGTCTGAGTGAAAGTGTCGTGACCCGGCACAGCCTATGGCTCACCTCTTCCTCTTTTGTTTCTTTTCTTGAGAAGTGCATGCTGATCGTAAATAAAGATCTCACCCATAGCAAGCTATTACTCTCATAAATTGTAAAACAACAATTGGAATAACTTAAGTCGCAATGATTGGAAGGAAAAAATTAGATCATCTTCATTGCACTTTATATTATACCTGCTTCAATGTTGGATAGTCAAATTTAGTATGAAGTATGACTGACTATTTGGATCCGCATTTCGTCCGAGCACTCTGCCGTGATCCGGACAGAAGGACATTACAGGTAAGCCACACTAATTCACCTCAAATCGATTCCCAAACTATAAACTATACTTTAATGTCAGATTATGCACAATATCGAGGTGGGTTTAATGGTCTATATATTTTCAAATAAAGATTGAATTTATCTATAAGACGTGGAAGAAATGTAATAGTGAGTATTATGAAATAAAATTATTGTCATGTAGGATAAAAATAGTTTTTAAAAACTGTTTTCTAGTAAAAAGTATAATTAAACTTCTCATTCATTAATAACAGGATTTAATTGCTGTGTGTCATCATAAATTATATGAATTTTATATTTTACTTGACATTATTCTAGATTTTTTAACATTTTATTTTCATCCATGCAATGAATAATTATAAATGACCAAGATGACTATGCTATGATATAATGCATTTTTTTTTTTTTTACTGATTTCAAGATTTTAATCAGTTTACTCACGATTTACTGAAATTCTCAATTAGTTTATTCAGACAAATTTATCAATAGAAATAAATCAATTGTTTTCTCTAATTTAGGAATTTTTTTTTTAAAGTAATCCCACATTTATTTGGGCAATGTTCCAAGAACTAATTGGTTATTATGTCTATGACTTAATATTGTGCAAAATATTGACAAAGTTTTGGTTGTTACCAAGCCAACAATTTTTCAAACATAAAACTACTTATTCTTTACCCTATTCGATTGTTCTGGGCCATGGTTTGTTGATCACTCACCCTTAATTCCCAGACTAATTAGCACGTTCTTCATAGATACAGTATCGATGAAGCCTATCATGAAAGCCAACAAAATATCGATTGGTAAAACCCCTTATTGCAGCATTTACTTTATGGCTTTTTAATTTTACCAATGTCTAGAGAGTGATAATGATGAGATAAAATAAAGTAATAACTAAAGTCTTTTATATTTTATAATTATACCCACATAGGAATATACATTTAAACATCTTTTTTATCTTACAAATACAAAAGCAGATAATTCCATTTCTATATTTCGAATAATCTGAGTCTGCATGATGAATAGAAAGGCAAAGTCTAGCTGTGAATCATCAACAAGCTTTATTACGTAATGCGATTATTTTTAAAGTTTCGGATTAAGGAAGTGTATTATAAAAGTTGAATAATTTTTTAAATATTAATCCAAACTTGTTCAGCAGAGTTATTTATTCGAAAATCTTTTTCAAAGTTGGAAACAGTACAAAAATGGAAAACTTCAGGCATTATAACTGTGTAAAATGAAATAATTTAATCTAATTCAATTAGTTCAAAAAAAGATAAATTTGATAAAAGTTCAGTTATATATTCTGTAAAAATATAAACTATTTATTCAATTAGCAGTTGAAATAAATTTAATTAGTAACGTGATACTTCTTGTAGTTGTTGTAATATACAGTTGGTAGATATTTGTTTGGAAAACTTTTCAATGAGTTTCAAGAATGTTATAGCCAATATTTGTTGTATTCACTTCTAAATGCATGTACACCTGACTTTGATAATATTCTCGGTGAGGAAACCTGCTTTTGCCTTCGCACGGAATGTCTGTTATTCCAGCGACGAAGATGACCAAGAAGAGGATATACGTAACGGTACCAATACTTGCTGTACATTAGTGTGAACTTACGTTCACGTTAGATTAATTTGCAGACAAATATGTTGCCAATCAAAAGTTCTTTATGAAGTTGATAAAAATTACCAAGCATAAATAATTTCTAAATGAGATTCCAGCAGTCATTATCAGAGTATGGTAATGAACAAATGAAAATCGGATGACCTTCGTATTAGTCAAGGTCCATGAGTGGTAAATATATGCTATACTACATATACATGATGTGTAACTGCATTATTTCAACGTGAGTTGTCTGCACTTGAGATACGATCTCCAACTTCAAGGTCGCCCAGTACTTACTTCGTTCTACATTTTGTGGTACCGTGAAAAATAAATTGAAATAACAAAATAAAATTCGAACAAACTCGAAAGAGTATGGACACTCTGACGCCACGTAAGTTATGGGAGAGTCAAAAGGTATAAAAACAAGGTAGACTGTTTGGCGCCACTTTTTCTGACTTATTTTCTAAGTATACTCTTTGACATTTTTATATTACGATGGTTTGTACGCAAGACGATTGAATATACCTCAGGGTATTGACTTGTTTCTTCCACCAGTGCATTAAAGTAGAGTGACTTTTATTACCTGATAAGAGAATACCGGTGGCTCTTGATATGCAAGTTGTTGGTTGCAATCACAAGGAAATAAAAAAAAATGTAACTACAGATGCTGTTGATTTTTTTTAGTGCTTTTAATAAAAAGTGAAACATGATTAGAGAATGTAATTATATACTATCATAAAATTATACTGTGAGATAATGCATAAACATGAAGATAATATTGTATTCCATTAACAACGATCAGAAGATGTTAAATCGTGAGGAATTATATGTATGATAAAATTGATACGGTCATTTCTAGTATTCCATTTCCTCCCAAGTTTCAAATTTATCTTTACATCCTACTATAAAATGTTATGTTCAGTTTACTTGTTTTATTCAATTGCAGTAGAAAATTTAAGTTTTCCATGAATCTGATAAAAAATATCTATAGAGTTGGAGTACTTGCTAACAAATTCAACTACTTGATAAGGCTTGTTGTTATTTTCAATGAAATCCAACTCAATAAGTGATTCAAGAAGTTCTTCAATTAAGATAAAAAATCGAGTTGTTGATAAATAATCAATTTTTTTAAATGAACTACATATATTTTAATTAATGTATTAGATCCCAGATAGTAAATATCACATGAGTATGCAAATGTGGCAAATTTTGATAAGCCTGGGATAAAATCTAAATCACTTATGTTCTTAGTAGTTGGATCAATTTGTTTTAATAATAAATGATAAAAAGGATGAGTCTGGTAGTAGACCATGAATATAAATATGGTGATTTTCGATTAATATTGGTGATAAAACGTCTGGAATACTAAGCCAAATGGAAAAAATGTAAGAAAACTGTAGCATCACAAGTTACCTGTATTGATAGATAACCAATCATGCTTAATCATAATTATTAATTACTGGAATTTTAATCGTTAATGAATATAACTAATAATCTAAGAAAACAACGACACTCATGTTTAAATTAACTTGTCATAATTAAATTATAGATATTTGATTAGAACTTATGAATCGAACATTTTTAAATAAGTTAGATATGATAATATCAATAAGACATCAAAAACAAGGTATCAATATTGTCATTAAAAATCATTTCAAGTCTTTCATACTCTTTTAAGGTGAAATTAATCTTTACAAGCGCCTTTAAAGTATTCGATCCGCTTGATTTATCCAGTCGCGACAAAATATGCAAAGTGTTCTATGAGGGTAACTGTGTATAGTTCAACGAACAAGTCTTGAGCCTTTCGATCGGTACCGAATGCCACGCGAGGTCGCATGTTTCATGACGCTTGCATGTAACAAACTAAGATATATTGAACTATTTTATGTATTTAATATTTATAAGTCATACTTTTCTTTCAGGATCTTCAAATAATTTATTACGGTTTGCTGGGACTTGAAGCGTTAAGACCATGCAGAGATTCGATTCTACGTGGACTCTGTAAAGTTGTGAGATATGAACGACATTACGCTAATCATGTTCTCTACTAGTGAGTATAGTAAACATAACTGTTATCAGAAGTTATTATTATTATGAGTTAAATGTCCAATTTGAATCTACTCTGTTCGCTCGTATCTTTTGTCAGTGCAAATACTAAGTATGGTGTTTGTCATATATAATTAATTAATCTACCACCCATGAATCACGCTTGCTGATACATAAATTGAATTTGTAATAGATATTATTAGACATCAATATGTTGTATTGAATTCCTTTGAACTAGTATTTATTATGCATTGATATTTATTGAATTATATATTATAAAGTGATTAGACAAAAAGAAAAATTGCTTTGTTTTGATCATAATCATTTGTCAACAAAATAGAATGATAATTAAATATTATTCATCATTAATAATCATTAACAATATTATTGAGAACAATAAGTTGCTTACACTGATTGTATTTTATATTACTCAATAATTAGTTTATTATTTCAATTATTTTAGTCATAATTAAAGAAAAAATGCAAATTTAATTACATCATACTGATTGATTCATACTGAATTATCTTGGAGATATAATTATTTGTAATTTTTATTGCATCTTGTTTTAAAGTAAATTTTTAAATTAAGACAGTTATCGCCATCTGGTGGATAACAGACATATTCATCTATATTACCAACTAAAGTTAACTACAATGTCGATTGTCTATTGTCGGTAAAGCAGATTTGCATATGATCTTCATTAACTGTTTGATGAGTTCATGAAAAATCCGGTAGACGGCGCAGTTGATTTGCGTCATCGCCAAATTTTACCGCGTCTTGTGAGTTTTATTTACTGCGTAAATAGTGTTCAGTTATCCGTTAAAGACATAAAATTTCTTAGTAATTTTATATGTCATGTGTGTTTGTGTTTACTAATTATTATGTGACTTGCAGTACTGGAGAATTGGCAACCTGTTGGTATATCCTGTTATCTGGCTCGGTATTCATCGATGGATCGATGTTTCTGCCTCGTTCAAGGTGAGTTCTGTTAGTTATTTTTCTTTCCCATGAAAATTTATGTTCACTAAATATACATAGTCATGGATATTTATAATAACGTAAGAAATAAACTACGTTAATTATATTTCGTTTATGTTGGAAATAACTAATTGGAGGATTATGAAATGATCAGTTATGTATGAGAATTATAGAGGTTTCAATTGTTACACATGAAACATATTGTGCTCCAAAGCTGCATCAGAGTTCAGAAAAGGGTAGCAATTGGAAACTCTGTTACATTTATGTCATTTCCATTCCCCTAGTACTACGGAAATCCTTATTAATTCTATAACCTCGAGATAGCATACGTGACATGCTTTAAATTTATAGATATTAGGATAAAAATAACATCACTTGATACTTCTATGTCACAAGAAATATTTGTGCTACATATCAATTCTAACAAATATGATTATACATCAGCTTCTAGTGGTTAATTTACAGGAAATGACTTTTAATAAAGGACTAAAGTCCAACTTAGTAAGCCAATAGTTGGAATTGCTTATTCTTATGATTAACAATTTTATCAACCAGTCATTATTGATGTATTAATCATCATCATTTAGTTGATTTATTTAATGTAAACAATAATTTACTTTCTTTCATTTGTTTTGTTGAATAAGAGAAGACATTTATCATTTTTAAAAATTGATTAAGTTGGTATTTAAAAAAGCTGGATGGAAATTTGATAAAATTCCTGACCTTTCATCAAATCAAACCTGAGGTTATAAACCTAATGTTGTCTTGATCGACACATGACTTGGATCTTTCAAAATATTTATCAAAAGCACGAAAGGTATGAATGTCATCAGATTTTTGTCATGAAAATTGTATGTTGTGGCTGTCAATGTGGTGACAAGTGAGTTGACTACCTGTGAGTTCTATGAGAAAATCTATGATATTGAGCTTGGTTGATGGCAGTAGGGGGCGTCGTTTTGTATGCTAGAGGCAATGTGGCGAAAGGTAACTTTATATATGAAGTAAGGAGTAATAGGTCCAGATGGAGAATGAAAATGGGATGGTGAGCATAGTAGAGAGAAATATAGGCACATAAGTGGGATAGAATTCTCTCAAGTATGAGTGAGATAGATGGAGAGATGGAGTTTCTCGAATTCTTTTCAAGTTAAACAGGATAGGAGTGGAAGTATCGCGAGCGGAATGAGAGAGAAGACAGCGGCGCCGCCACGTTTGTTTGTCAACCACAACATCAGTAGTACATGAGCCGGTTTATGAGACGTAAGTCTTTCTCTTTTGCACGAAAAACTTTGAAACAATTGTCTACTTTACGAAACGTTGCATTTAATATATCGCGCGCTCATTCGTCGGGAGTAAAACGCCGACGCATTTCACACGGTGAGTCGAAGCGTGTCGTGGAATTGAGCGTGAGAAAGAGGAAGTCAAAGAGAAAAGAGGGGGAGAGTATTAAAAAGATTCGAGAGAAGAAGAAGAATAGGAAGGAAAAAGAAGAAAAAATACGTCCGGGTGTTCCACACACACGTCATAAGGTGAAGGGCCCGATTATTGATATCCTCAGTGTACACCTCAAATATCCTTAATTTAAAAGTCTTAATTTATTGATGTATTCAAATTGTTCGGACGTGTTTTTAATTTAAACATTTTTATAATGTCAAGTTGGAGTGGAAGTTTTCTCAGAATTAAATTGCATCAATTCTATTTTCTTCATTGACTTTTTTAAAGATAACTTTTTATTGATATTCAGTTAATATTATCTTATATTTGAATTATAAAATTTCTAGCAAAATCAATGCTTGAGTCTAAAATATCACTATTTTATTATTATCAAGTATTTAATATTAAAGTCGATTCAGGCATCAGTTATATTAGAACAGTAGAGTACTGTTTTGATGTAAAAAAGATTAAATATGTAGGAAATGAATAAATAAAATACATCGCTAATTTATGAGATAAAGTTTGTCATAAAGAATATTTTTTTTCCGCTTATCAAAAATTAAGTATCTTCTCTTCAACTAGTGTATCCAGTGGACCACTATTTAGACCATTAAAATGAAAAACTTGCTCCAAACAAGTACAAAAAAATTTTTATATAATTTTTAAATTAATTTGGCAAGTAATGAAAATTTTTTTCATGCATAATTATCAAAAAGAAACTCGCTAGAATATTTAAATAAATATCCAATGTGTCTATTAGAGGATTAAAGAAAAAATCGAAAGTAAAAAGATTTTTCTCGTTGGAAGGATGAGCTATAGTTCATGACTGAGACAGTATTGATAACAGAGACTTTCTGGCACCTTACACAATACGAATAAAGCATAAAATGCAATCTTGCATGACTTGATCAGTCAATTTCGTGTCCTGTGAGTCGTAACGAATCAACAGAACATCAAAAGACTGCCGGTTGACTCTGTCCTCTCTCTTACTCTCTATACTCTCATCCGTGTCCTCATACTTTTCGCGAAGAAGACCCTCTCTGGAACTCGTTCTGGCTAAGTTGGTTGAGTTGCGAGTGTGCATACCGAAAGATTGCGACCAGTGACCCGTGAATAAAATGCGCTGAACGATAAAGAGAATACATAAGTACAAGAAAGATAGAGGCAAGGGAGCGACGCCCAGCAAACGCTCCGAAGGATCGCCGCTGCATTCCGCGGCTGCTCCTGCACGAGCTTGTTGAGTTCGTACGCGCATCGTGGTGGCAATCAGTGGGAGAAGAGAAGGGACATCGTCATCAACTCTCTGAACTGTTCAAGCCACTTCAAACGCTCTCTTATACTCTCTTGCACGTTCTGCAGGTACACGCGATTATCAGAGACACCCTAGTCTCGCTCCACGAGTCTTACGTTCTCTTTAACCGCTCGCTTTCACCAAGAATTGTGCTGATCAACTTCTATATTTAATTCTTAAATCGATTTCAATCATCGATTTCTAATATTCCAATTAAAAACTTGCTAAATCATTTTTATTTTATTGAAAAAAGTGTGTGTGTGTGTTTTGAAGAATTTTTGTTATACTTTATAAAGTTGATTCACAACAACTTGAACAGAAGTTGAAATCGGTCGATCGGTTTTTTATATTGAATTCATAACACATATCGTCATATACGATACCGTGAATAGTGACAATTGAAAGAGTTTTTAAAATGTTTGACCAGTGAATTGATTGTGAAGTAAAGTGTGAGTGTGTATTTTTATCAAATTGCGATCGAGATCGGACATTGAGGACAGTAAAAAGAGGGTGGAAAAAACCATCAAACTGGATGCGACCGACGGCGCCCCGCCTCTTCCACCCCCGCCTGACATTACTGTCACTCAGGATGACCGGTGAGCTTTTTTATTATTTCATACCTTTTTTCTTTCATTTTTTTTTCCAACTTTGTATTTTTAACTTAACCACATCGCTCTCCGATTAAGTGAAATTTTATTTTTAAAATTTATACTTGAACTTTTGAAAAAATCGATCCCATGGCTTTATCATAAAATATCTTGGAAATTTCACGAGTAAAAATAATCACTGCAAGAGCTAACATTTTGTATAAATAACACAATACTTTGATAATTAGAAAGATTTCAGAATATCAGTAGATATTTAAACAATACCATTGTTAGCTTTTGTTCATGACTGTTGTGACTATTGATAGAATCATTATCTGATTTAATTCCAACAATGATTTATTATTAAGTATTCTGTCTTCTAAGTGCTGTTTTTTCATTCAATTTTTGTCTTACAATGTGAATAAATTCTCCAGCGTTTTTCCTGTTATGTGCATTTTAATAATATTAATTATAAACCGTATAACAGAATTCACGTAAGCATATGACGTAAATATATACGCACGTCTATGTTATTAACACGCTTCAATAGTTTTAACTTAATATTTATGTATCGCATGTAAGTTCGGTTGATCAAGTGATGCTGAATTCCGCGAAATAATTTACTAAAATCACGCAAGCATAACATTAAATAAATAATTATTGTAAATTCATAAAAGTCACGCAGATATATATAAAGAAGATGAAAGATTAGATCCCGGTTTCCATTACTTTTATGTTAACAATTTAAAATCCTGCAAATAACCAAGTCTTACCGGTTTTCCTATTATTTCAAAGATAATAAGCCAACCAGTCTGCGATCGACGTTTTTTTCTTTTTTAAATTAATCTCACCACGACCCAGTAATGAAATTCTTGCGGTGTTGATGTAAAACACGACTGAAGAATTCATGTTGTGCTCATTATTATTATTATTTCGAACTAAAAGTACCTACAGTGAAATTAAAAACCACGTAATTGAACTACCTGTTTGCCTATTGAGTTTTGAATATATAAAGTTTATGCATCAGGTTCGTTCGGATACAATGTTTGAAAAATGTTAACGTAGTTTATCGTAACTGTTTTGACGGGCAATTTAGCTTCGTCAGTACATAAACAGTTGAGAATGTTTGCTAAACATATATTGCAAACTTCCATTCTAAGCATTACATTGACGTTTATTTATTTTTTTTTATTCGGAAATTTTTTTTTACGATCGATAAATTATTTTTCTATCATTGCAGTCGAGTCTGATCAGACTAATGATTTTTTTCTGCATATTTAAAGAATTTTTTTTTTGAATTTTTTTTTTTGTTTAAAAGAAGCCGTATGGTACAAAGGGACCAAAGCAAAGATTATTGATTTCCGATTCATGGAGTTATAACCAAAGCCGTATTATCGTAGAACGTAGTGTAGTTCACCAATTATACCGACAAGTGTGCGAGACTTACATAGAACAGTGTGTGTATGAAAGAATTTAATCAGAATGAGAATAATTATTCTAATTTTCTTTTTTTTTATTTAAAACGTATTTGGAGAGAAAATAGAATAATTAATTCAGTGACTTCTAGAAATCTCAGATTACAATTATTTAATTATTTTAAAGATGGTTGAATATAAAATTCATTGTTTTTCGAATGACATTTTTAACTTTTTAAAACAATTAATTTAGTGTAAAATATTAATTTAAAAGTC